CCCCAAAACCCCAAAACCCCAAAACCCCAAAACCCCAAAACCCCAAAACCCCGCAATGATAGAATTATATTGAATCATTAGCAATCTCATAATTGTAGAAATTGGTACTCTGAGCAATCATAGTCTCTCTTGGACCTGGTTCTGGCTTAACAGATACCCGCTTCTTCCTACCCTTATTCTTATGGTAACAAAGAATTTCATCTTCATTCTTTCTACTATATCTCTGAGCTTTCTCTAGTTTTTTAATCTTCGAGAGTTTTTGTTTTCTCCTTTTTCTTTCTTGAGCTTTGGTCATAACCTTAAGAGTTTCCCATTTATTTAAGAGCAAATATGACTTCTTCCTTACTGGTTGTATTCATCAGCTTAGCAGCATGTTCCTGTCTCTTTCTGGTTCTTTCGGCTCTCTTAAGTTTTCTGTCCTAAGGATGACAAACAATTTCTTACTTTTCTCTCTCTGCCAGCTATTTTCTGAAGCCATATTTTATATCCTTCTTCAGCCGCTTCTTTATTTCATTTTCTTTTCTTGCTTTTTAACCAGTCTGTTGTGCTGCTTGAAAGCTCTTTTGTGCTCATCTTCGGCTTCTTTCTTGGCAAGCCATTGAGAGTAGGCTTCTTCACCTGTGAGAAGAGCCTTGGAGAGTTCTTGCTTTCCGTGGGTGATTGTCATAGCAAGTATCCTCTTTTCCTCGTCTATTAGTATGTTCTTGATCTTTTCTTCTACTTTCTTTTGATAACTCCATTCTTTATGAGTCAGACCCAGTTGCAATATTGTGTTCTGCTTATTTTTAGGAGGTGAAGTTTGAGATTTTTTGCGTGAATTAGACCTTTTAGGGGGACTTTTAGGCTTTTCTCTCTTCATAATTTGTAGCTCTTGGAATATTTCTTGCAAATTTTCCAGTGAAAGCATTTCTGTATATGTTAAAACCTAGAAATTACTCTTTTGAGACCAATCTCTGATTATCTTATCTATTAGATACAGGGTTTTCCGAGGAACTTCGATATCATTTTCTTCTATTCTCAACAATATTTTAGCATTATTTTTTCCATTTTCTAATGTTTCTATTAAGGAGCAACCCCGTGATTTATCAGGAGTTCCTATAGAGAGATTATTGATGATTTCAACTGGTTTATTACACTTTTTGTAATCAGATAAGGCTCTGAAATACTCTTCATTGGCAATCGACCAGTCTGTTGCATAGCAAGGGTTACTCGACATTGGTCTTTTCTTTTCCTTGGCTGGAGCTATTTAGGCGTAATTAATTTCTTTTGCGAATTAAGCCGAACAAAAGAGTCTTAATATTCCAGAAATTTTCCGAAACTTGATTTTTGACCTAAGTGTCTTACTGTTCAATATTGGGTGGTAATTTTTCTCTCTCATCATTGTAATTAAAATTTTATTCAACAGACTTAAAATTCAGAGGGGTTTTGGGGTTTTGGGGTTTTGGGGTTTTGGGG